TCCTTGCGGGGGGATGTTGACGAAAGACCACTCTCGCATGCACGGTAAATTTCCCACTAACGTGGCTAAAATTAAAAAACCCTTTAAAGTTAAAAATTAGTTCGAATTTATGGCAAAAATTTGTGGTCACCTTCTCTCAGTACGGGTTGAATTTAAAACCACGAGGGTTTCCCCCCAAATCGGTACACAACAAACATACCAAATTTCAGCAAAATGGGTTCAGTATTTCCGAGTTATAGGGGGCAAACAAACCCACATGTTTTTTATATATAAGATGATGTTGTATATTATTTGCCCTGAGGTACCTTGCAGATCAAATTAGCTATCAATGTGCCTGTCAGTCACTTTGGACTGCACTACTAAGATCAAACATTCTTAATTGAGCAAACATCTGGTTTACAGCCAATCTCACTGACAGGTGTGAAAAGCCATCCAGGGGACGCCATCATGCCTGGAGTTGTCTACTAGACCAAGTTAATTTCCCGGATTTGGTCTGTTTAAAGGGCCCCACTCAGTCTGGTTATCTAACATTTATGACACTCTGTCTGACTAGTAGAATTACACCACTAGATAAGGTAATGTTATGTAATCTCTAACCAAGATTGGTTGCTTTGTCTCGCTAAGGAAGGGTAAACAATTTTAAATCCCATGTGGTATTAGTACTATTTTGGCTTAGTGAATAGTAAATATAATTCTTTGTCTCTCTATGAACATCAGAAATTATTAAACACAATATAACTGCTGAGGCCACTGAGGTCCATTTTTATCACAACAGATACTTTTACTTTACTTCACAAGCCACTTTTGCTGTTTTCTTGGTTTTTCAGGACTGCAACTGGGATCAACATAGCTCAGATATTAGTCCAGTTCCCCCATGGGTGTGCAGTGTTAGGATTCAAACCCACTAACTCACTATATAAGTGTATATTCACATGGGGTTGGCGATAGGAGGGGAGAGGGAACCATGCACACTATTGCCAAATATATTGAACTCCTAGTCAAATAAATGTGATGCATTAGTTTTAACAGAACGTTGCTGAGGATAAGGAGAAGCAGGTGGATGAGAAACGTAGGCAGAAAGAGAAGAAGAGAGAAGGAGGAGGGGAAAGAGGAGCAGCATAAGCAGGAAGAAGAAAAAAAAGAGGGGCTGTAGAAGCAGAAAATAATGACTGTCAGTGACCTAAACTACTCTACTTGTTTTATATGGCTCGCTAGGAAGGCCAACTGACAGACTCTACTACCCAAACACACTTAAGACGACACTCCGGCTGAGTACAACCATTATCTTTAATGTACAATGAACATAAGACGTATAACACTTCAACTGGGCTAAGCAGCTCCCATCCGAAGCTGCCTTGGCGATGACAGCTTTACACTCACTAATCACCCCAGGCCAGCTCCCATGGATCCAGGGGAGCACGACTCTTAGCTAGCAGTGTCTCAGTGCCAATCAATCCGCCGTCGATTGCCAAACAGGACTGCAGCGATACACGAAAAGTGTATGGCCTAAGCGTGCCCGGGCAGTGTTACCGCCATTAAAAGGCGCGTCCCCTATGATTAACTGCTTAAACAAATACTACCTGTAATATCTACTACACAAAGACCTTAACTCTCTCTACTATCTAGCCAACAACATTAGCCTATCACAGACACTAAATACGAATATCCTATTTGTATCTAACCGTCACTAACCTAACGTTCCCTCGTCGTAAACTGTTGTCCTGTCCCTCTCTCTCTACCAGCACACAACCGTCGTCCACAACTGCTGCACACAACTCTCCCCAAATCCGCTTGGACCAAGCCTTTTGTATTTCCCCCGAGTTCATCGCCAAATCCGCAGCACTCCGTGTCAGGCTGAGTGAACTCGACCTGGCCTCTAAACTGGGCACGGCTTATTGCGTGAACGAGCTATACGTTCACACACTGAGTTTGCGCTGGAGGTCAACTGGTACAAGCGTGAAGATTCACTATGAGACATTTGTTGTGCTTCTCATAGCCGAACTGGCCTCTGACAATGACAATGGAAAAGAAGTTGAGAAGGAAGAAAAGACAAAGAGGCTGAGGAGAAAGAAGAAGAATATGTAGAAAATTAATTCAGAAGTAGAAAGAGAAAAAGAAGAGGAGGAGCTGAAAGTAAGGATAAAGAAAAGTAAAATAGGGGAGAAAGTGAAAACTGTATTAAGTCGAAGATTTTGCAGCAGCAGATGTTATTATGTCAGTCAATGATATTCACTGAATTTTTCTCAAACCATATTTCCACATCCATTAGATTTCAGCTTATCTCCTCATTGTCCACTGACATGCATGCAACAATACAGGTTCTATATATAGCAATTTGACATTTATTTTTAGAATTGGTGCATACTTTTTAAACCTTGCAATAGGTTTTTCTTTCTTAAATCTCTTTATTATTATATCTGCTATTCATCTTGCACCAGATGTCATAATTGTTTTTGTTTTTTAAATGTGTGTGCTGATTCACTTGTTTAAGAATGTTTCTATCTACATGAATGCTATTCTTCTTCTTCTTCTTCTTCGCATTCACCAGCTGTACACTCTAGTGGAAAGTTCTGGTTGCTTGTCCACTAATGAACTGCAGTCCTGCTCCAGAACCTGAGTGTTGCGTGTGCATCAGTTTTACAAATCTCATTCTCTTGAACATAGACTGTTGGTTCCTTGCCTCTCCGGCAGATGCACTCTGACTTCAAAGGAAGCTCCCCAATTAGTCGACTCTTACGACATGCTTTTGGGGAGGCAATGAGTCTATTCTTTTTTTCCCCATTATGGGGCCCCGGAACCCACACGGGGGGGGGATTGGTCTATAGAAATATAGGTCTTACTCTATACGCCTAAAGGCGTGGAAAAGGGTCCCTTACTTACTTTACTTATTATTGCCATGGGATTTCAGCAACAGCAAATTTCAGATACATTTCTTCAGACATATGTAGTCAAAACAAACACAGGATTAGAGAAGATGATGAAATGTAAAAACCCCTTTAAACACTGTGTTAAGTCCTGAAACAGAAATACATATGGTTAAGAGCTTGAAAAAACACTGACAAGTCGCAGTCTAGCCAGTTCCAGTACAAACGACAGTTTTTCTGTTTAACATTTTGCAATTGTTATCAGCGAGTAAATTAATGAAGATAATGAATTATATGTGTGCGACTTTGACGATTTTGGATAAAGCCAGACTTCTGTGATCTTAATACAGTGAGTAGCACCATTTTCACCACCGGATAAGCTCTCAATCCCCATTAGGAGTTTAGAAATCAGCAGATCAAATGGTTTGGACATGTGACAAGACCACCTCACACCAGACAGTCCACCACAGAGAGCACTGTCATTTAGAGATAATGTAAGCAGACCTAGAGGTCGACCATACAAGTTATAGGTAGATGGCTGTGAATACCAGCATCTATGCAGTACATACTAAGGCTTGCAGAAAGGCAGGTCAGGACTACAGATGAAGAAATGTAGAAATCCCTCTGGACACTGTCTTGACATAGAAACACCTAAGAGCTGTGGAGGAAACACTGACAAGTCTCAGTCTAGGCAATTCCAGTACTTTCTTTCAAATATTCTGCATCCAGTCCTTATGTAAACTTCGTTCGTTGAAGGATATGGTGTACAAACAATACAAACAAATTTTTAAACATGTGTTAACAAAGCCAGTTTGAAAAAAAATGTGTAACAAAGCCAGTTTGAAACAGAATGTGTTACAAAGCCAATATGTGAAACGAAATGTGTAACAAAGCCAATATGTGAAACAGAATGTGTAACAAAGCCAATATGTGAAACGAAATGTGTTACAAAGCCAATATGTGAAACGAAATGTGTAACAAAGCCAATATGTGAAACGAAATGTGTAACAAAGCCAATATGTGAAACAGAATGTGTTACAAAGCCAATATGTGAAACAGAATGTGTAACAAAGCCAATATGTGAAACGAAATGTGTAACAAAGCCAATATGTGAAACAGAATGTGTGACATAGCCAGCATGTGAAACAGAATGCATAACATAGCCAGTATCTGAAACAGAAGTGCAAAATAACCAGTATGAGAAACAGAATGTTTAACACAGCCAGTATGTGAAACAGAATGTGCAACACAGCCTATATGTGAAACAGAAATTAACTTAGCCACTGTGTGAAATAGAATGTATAACATGGCCAATATTTAAAACAGAATGTTTAACATAGGATGTGTTTCAATAAAAACAGAATATGTAACATAGCCAATGTCTGAAACAGAATATGTAACAGATCCATTATGTGAAACAGAATATGTAACATAGCCAGTGTCCGAAATAGAATGCTTTGAACAATGAGTAAGTCCATACAACAAACAGTTGAGCTGATCTCTATGATCCCCCAGGAGCTGAGGACTCTTCCTGTGTTCTCCCAGCAGGCAGCATCATTGCACTGAAGTGCTGCTGTGCCATAATGACAGAATCAATGCTCAGGTTGTACACCGGCTGCACTGGCCTCAATCTGTTCTGTGGGTTTCTGATGACAATGTCATTGCTGAGAAGTCCACCCAAGAAGTGCTGAGCCACAGATAAGCCACTCAGACAGTAGCAGGTGTGTTAATGATCTCTGGCTTTGCCAGTTTTGTCTATTAGTCCTCCATAAGAGTGCTGGCAACAGATGAGAATATATTCTTGCAGAGCTTCCTGATGAAACATCCAGCGAGTGGCACTCAAATTCTGGTCATCATCATCTGTACAACTGATCATGTGGATGATAGGAAACATAGCTCCCTGCCAAAATGAGTAGCAGCCATCAACAAGTATGTTTGTACGACCTTGAAAGCCACCTTCAAGTTGTGTTTGCCTATTTGCGGTCCAACGCTGTAGGGTTTGGAGATCACAACGTTCAGTATGACCCAGAAGAACCAGTGCTGTGATTCCACAGAAAGTGTAACCTCCGTGGGCTTCCAGTCCAGGGTCTCTGGCAAATGCTCCTTCGTAAGTCTGGCACCTGATTATAAAATCAGCAACACCTTCTAAGAGCTCTTTTGTAAGAATTTTGGTCAGACGGGCAACGCTGAGGGCACAATAAACTCCCCTGATATCTACTTCCCCTCCATCGTGCATCTGAAAAGCTCCGTCTCTTGTCTTCATCCTCATCAGAAAATTGTACAGCTTTTCTCTGTTTAGCACATTGAAGACCCTGTCTGTAATGTTGGAGAGAATACACAAGGAGTTGACGGCTGCATATGTTGGAGCCAGGTGTGGTTACTGCTTTGGTCCACCTCCAAAACCTCCTTCGCGGTGTTGACAATGACCTAGGAAATCTGCAATCTGTAGAGCCTTATCTTCAGTAATGGGTGCTTCCAACAGCTCCAGACTATGCAGGATCCAGTAGTACAGCCAGGGGAGACTTGAGTCCAAGCACTCATAAGATGATGACAGCTGTTTTAGTCCCTTGAGTAAGAATTCAACATGGCTCTCTCTCTCAAGGAAGGAAACTTCAGGGTAAATATCTAATTATGTTATGAAACTTCTGTAACATTTCAAAATGCTTTCTTCAACTTGTTTCTGTTCATGAAATGTTCTGGTTGGTAAACCTTCATCATTAAATTTAAACTGCTCGAAATCAGGAGCTAGACAACGAAATCGCAAGGTGTCTTGATCAGCTTGATTCGGATCAGAGGCCATTCTTGTTCGGATGCTATTTATAACATTTGTTTTTTCTAAGTGATGAAAATAATTTGTGTTTTCCCACAATTTGTTTAGCTGAAGGTAAAAATGACTCTTGACACATGGACTCTTATCAGAAGGGACTAGTTCAACTCATTGTATTCTATAAACTAATTGCTTTAACAAATAAATGTTTGTGTCTATATCAGTGGAGGACAGAAGAAGTCTTAAGTAATCATTTGGAGAAATTGGGTTTGTATAACAACCGGTTTCCAAGACGGTGTACACACCTCATACACCAGCAGGGATAACAACGAGAGAAAAGAATTATACATGCCTTTAATATAATATGTGTTGGTAAAGTCATATTATGTAACGTTAGGGATATGAACATTATCATAAATACTTTGAAAAAATCGGCTGCAGATTTACTCCTATGGAGAGTGTAAGATGGACTGTCCCATTTTGCAAAAGACTAAATACAGCAAGCTATAGAGAGGAGACATCTGAGACAAAAAAACGAACCTAAGTATGACAGAGTATCAACATTTTTTGTGTGGATTATTGGCAGTGACTTCCACTCCTGCACTGAACTTTACAGTCATGGCAGACGCTCTTCTCTAAACCAGCGGCACACCTCAATTGTCCCGGGGACTGATGGCTGCTGCAATTTAATGCATGCTTATGGAGATCCCTGTAGACCATTGCTTCAGCTACAATGGTTTGTGTGTAGTTGTTTTTTTTTTTTTACACTCTGGGCAGCTGGCTACATTGCGTTAAGATACCTCATCATATAGAATACTCTTGCATGGGTGAATGTAGAATTCAGACATCCTCTACTCTAGGATGAGAAGCTGACACTTTACCTCAAAACCATTCTGCACCCTCAATAAAAGGGTATACAGACACATACTGAAACATTTATGAATAAGTGGGTGACTTAGCTTGGTGTCAGTATGGGATATGAAGGTCAAGTAACAAAAATTCTGTCTCATAAAATATACAGAAAAAAAACACAAAAGATCTTCAAGAAAAACTGCATCAAACAAAAAACAATCATTTAGGGCATAGAGTTTCTGACTTATGCAGATTTAACGATAATTTATAACAGTGGTCAACAGGGAAGAATGATCAAATTAAACAATAATTTGAGAAATAACTAACTTGATAAAAATAATGACGATATGACTTAATCTGTTACGTATACCACTCAACAAAATACAGAAATGATAAGAAAATATTCTCACCATAAACTTTTAAATCACACGATACATTCTGTGTTCCAGCTCTACATCTGTAAGTTCCTGCACTCTGTCTGGTCACACTGTTGATAAACAATGTACTCGCATTGCTTGAGACAGACATATTATACCCACTGAAACCAGGATTTGCTTGACAACTATTGGGGGCATCACATGTTAAAATCTGTGAGTTGTTACCCTTAAACCAAATAACTGTATTCCCAATGCTGCTGAGTGTGATGTTGTGAGGTCGCTGCTCCTCACCTGGTGTACAAAACAATACCTGTGCTGCAAATTAAAAAAACATTAAATGTAAACAACTTTTGGTTGTGTATGTTAAAATATTAAACATGTAATTTTATACTATAAAATGCTTATTAACCTAAATTTGTTATAATTAAATATAGTTTGTAAACATTTAACAATGTGACAACACATTCGGTGACTTCAGAGTGTGTTTTTCTTCAACCTTATTTTTTTTAAATATATTTTAAAGTATACAGAAAAATATGGTTCTGGATATATCCTAAACCTAAGTCCACCAGAACAAACCTATTTAATTACCCTGGACAGTTAATGATATGAAAAACTCAGACTCTTGCCCAGAGGTAAAGTGTTAACGATAAGGTAACACTGACTAGATAGACTTAGTGGCACCAGTGAAGTAGAAAGCTCAGACACAGTGGCTGGGGATTTTGCTTGTAGAACTGAGTTGTCAGATAATTGTCTCCTAGCCATACCTTTAGGGGCAGATAACTTAGGCTAATTGTGATCATTTCCCCCTGAGATTACCCCACTGTGTGCAGTCCAGGGCTACAGTAGACATCTTTCAGTAAGAGGTGTTAGCAGACAGAATGTGGCAGGTTGAAGAAGGGTAGGAAGGTGTAACTTTGCTTATGAGCTCTGGCCAGCTTGATGGACCAGGAGAATTTAACCAGGGTAATGCAAACAAGTGTTGTGTAATCTAGCCATCTCCTTGTGAAATGCATTTTTTCGTTATTTTGAAGCCCCACCCTGGCTCTTGTCAGGGGCCGTAATATAGCCCGACCTTAAATATGGTCTAATGGCTGAACGCGATTTCTGAGACCTCTCCATGGGTTATCCTCATCCACATGGTGGCACTTTGTGTCGCTTGTGTAATGTCCTGGTGGGGTAAAATCCTACTACAAGTGTTGTGCAGTCCTGACTGACACTGCATGGACTTACCCACAGGGAGGAGCTATGACAACCCTTGAATGAAAGTGATTTCAGGAGTAATGTAGGAGCTTAGAATAAGTTATAAAAGGGTGGACCCTGGGGCTGGAAAGTGAGACCCTGCCACACCATGTGTTGGGCTTAAACCTTAAGCTTGAGACAGAACTTGGTGGCATTGTTTTTTTTCATTTTCCAGGTAAGCAAAACTATTTTAAAACTTAATTTGGTGATAGAAATCATAATATTCTCTTTGCTCAAGTTTTTGTACTTAATACTTTCTAGTACTCCCTAGCAGACATTTCTTCATTCCAGTAGGACACTGTCAAATTGCTCTATATCTAAATTGATATTGTCATGTATGTTTTCAGTGTACATATGTTTTAATGTTGTATAAAATTAATGTCGGCTCTGTAGCTAAGTCGATGCGAACGCTTCGTAATGCTGGAATGCCGGGTTCGATCCCAGCTGCGTGCCATGCGCCTTGCGTTGGTTTCGACAGTGGTATCAAGAAAGTCGACTGTCCAGAAAGCACTGGCAAACTACTGGACGTAGACTTGCCTAGAAAAACTACACAACAGCCAGTAGCAAGTAGCAACATAAAATTAATACTGTTACCACTAAAATTCAATGGACTATCATTTCATGAAATTCCAAGGTTGATAATAATTTTAGCAGTCTCTTCATGAGTGGTTAATTTAAATCTATATTACATACAGCTTGAAATATATTTAACTCCCAGGAGGGGTTAACCGTGTATTTTGATATTATCTTCCTGGATTCATCTTGATATCTACTTCTGTGAATGCAAATCCAGCTATTTTCATTTCATTGTACAAGCCACTTTTGCTGCTTTCTTGGTTATCCAAGACTGTGTCTGGGATCAGCGCAGTTCAGATATTAGTCCAGTTTCTCACGTGGGTGTGCAGTGTTCAAATTCAAACCCAAACACTTACTACATAAGTGTATATCTATGTGGGTTGGTGACAACTGGGGTCCTGCCCACGATAAAACCTGGCAGACTCTACTAGACTAACACAATTTTAAATTTCATAGATTTAATTTTAACTCTTCATTCAGTTCTTAGATTAAAAGCACACTTAGTAATTTGTAACAGGAAAGATTAAATTATAATAACTTTAAAAGTAATTAACTGATGGTATCATATGAGTTACTTGTCTATCACTGAGCATTTCATGAACACTGATTATTGTTTATTTATCAGTAGTGCTGATTTTGTGATTTATTTGCTTGCATGTTTTATTTTATATAGATTGTACAGCATTATATGTTGACATCTTATCTGTTACTTATGCTGAGTTTATTCAATGCTTGATTATTGCTATGCAGTAATTGTTATAGATGAACTGCATTATCTCAGTAACAGTCTCTTTACTGCTGTGGTCCATTTTCACAGTTACTTTTCTAGTCAACCTGTACCTCTAGATTTCTCTTTGATTAGTCCTGTATGTGATCATAGTTTCACTTGCCTAGAAAATAAGGGATCAAGACAATATTGACAGGCGGTCTAAGCTCTTGAGGATTTGTGGTGCACAATGGGGCTATGTAGGAAAAGAGTTAGAAGCTACTATTCACAACAAAAGGGATGAGTTGGATGCACTCATGGCCTGTATTCTCACAGAGAAGAAAGAAGATGAGAGGAAGTGGCAACCTGAGCAAGAAGAAAATGCCAGAAAGAGGCAACTCCGAGCGGAAGCAGCTGCTGAAAGCCAGAGACTTATGCTAGAGGAATTTGATAAAAAATAGATACTTAGGCAGGCTTAAACAAAGAGACAAGAGCAAGCAGAAAACATTAGCATGGAGGAAATTGCGAGTAAAAGTGAGGAAGAACTAACACCTCAGCCTGACTCTCAAGCAGGAAAGGCAGAAGTTAATTCTCTATATGATGAGGTGTGCATTGCTTGGCGATACTCTACAGCTGAGGAAGAAAACTTAAAAACTGACAGACAGGATCTCACACCTTTTATTCCTAAAAGGAAAAAAATGGAACAAGAAGAACTCTTCTATAGGAAGGATCAGATCTATATTACTGGACCCCTACACTTCTATTCTTATGAAAAAAAGGAAAAGATGGAACAAGAAGCAGAAATCTTCTAAAGGGACCAGACCTACATTGCTGGAACCCTTTACTTCCATTAGCTCAGACAAGCAGAATGAGAGAATTCCTCCCGCCCTGAACGGAATCGTGAAAGGAATAAACATCCACTGGGTATTTTTTATAGTCAGGACAGTGACAGAAGAATCATGTATGCTACACTCTTTTTCTTTAACCCTGTCTGTTCTGGGAAAGAAGGGAATCCTCACCTTCCAAATGTAAATGTAGGACAAAGAGAACCCGAATCACACCTGACAGTAGTCGCAAGAGTGATACCTGTTCTAACCATAGACATAGCGGCTGTACCCGCCCACCAGCCATTAATGAGGATGAGGGCAAGCCCTTATCCATTTCCCATATTCCCTTTGGTCCTTTCGAGCAAGAAGAGGAATTAAGGCAAACTAATGGACGGAATAACAGTGAACAAGTTTCCCCAATTTTCCTTGACGCGGCCGCCAAAGTAGTTGTCT